GGGGGGGGGGGGGGGAGAGAGAGAGAGAGGAGAAGGAGAGGGATGCAGTGGTTAGTTTCTTCAAGTGGTGGTGGTGGTATTATACCAGCCCCTATCCACAGAGAGCAATATACTCTATCGATGTGTCTAGGGGGTGGATGCAGGGACGGTGAGAAGCGATAGACGTTTTCCCGGCGGCGTTGGCCGTTTTCTACGTTACTCGACTCCAATCCCGAGAATAAAAGCTAGAGATACGATGCTAGTCAAGAGCCTATCCAGCACCACATTGGGCCTTTGAACAAAAAAAAAAAGAGAGAGAGAGGGAGAGAGCAAGCACGCCAGTGATGGTATATATGGTCATTCGCGGGTGAGAGGCGAGGGGCGGCGGGAGAGAGTGGAGAATGAAGATAGAGAGGTAGGTACATCCGATGTAATCGGAAGGGTCGATCAGAGCCACTCTTTCCTCCGGCCACATTGCTGGCCAATTTCCGTCCTTTTTCTCTTTTAAAACGTGCTAAGCATTCTTCATTATATCTTGTGGAAAATGTAGTTATCTTAATTCCACACTTATAGTCATTAGAACTAATTGAAGACAATTATTTTGATTATCACTTTATTCTAATAAGGAAAAACTCATTTATAATTAATTTGTTGTCGATGTATCGTGCCATCTTACCAAGTTCTTGAGCTAGAAAAAATATTCTGGAAAGATGATAATAATTTGTGACTTGATACGCACAACTTTGAGAGTTCTTTAAATACAAATCCCGAGATTTGCCTCCTACCAGCAGCTAAGCCAGACTGCCTTTGTCCTCACACTTTTCCCCCATTTGCTCATTTATTTTCTCCAACCTTTTGACTCGTAATTAGCTGGGAGTTTAACGTAGACCATGAGCAATCTCGTCGAGTCAAACTGTGTATAAATACGGTTTAGGCGAAACTTGAGCCAACTCGATTGGTCTTTCACTTGGAATTAAAATCGCCCCTAAGCAGTTTCAACCTGTTGCCACTATAGCATTGATTTTTTTTGTTGATTGGGTGGAGAATTAGCCATGTAAAAAATTGGAAAAGTTTCAGAAATATGGATAAACGGCTGTGAGATGCGTGTTTTGTAAATCGTAAAGAATTACTTTAGAAGAACTTTATTGCGGATGGAGATCTGAACTGCATTGTTTATGAGAAAATTTTTATCTTCATTTTAGTGAATCAAATCGTGAAATAATTGTCGCAAACATGTATATCAGTAGCGACCTTAAAGTAGCAGTAAAGGGCGATAAGTCGATAAATCGTAATTTTCGTAATAGTGATTTTGGCTAATGGAAAATGACATAAATCCATTCTCTCTCTCTTTCTCTCTCTCTCTCTCTCTCTCTCTCTCTCTCTCTCTGTTATTTGACATTAGAATCTTTGCATCCACGGATGCAAGTTTGTGTGTCTGCCACCACCACCGCTGGCGGCAGCGACAGGCATTTATACATGGTGGTAACGTATGCCAGCTAAACCATGATATAGCTATAAACGAGCAAACGGGATATACAACACCCTTTCCTTTTCCCCTTTCCCCTCCTCACCGTCGCCTGCCTATCTTCCCGGGATTATACCAAACATATACGCAACGCATTCACCCACTGGGTTGTCGTCAGTTTGGCTGGTTGGCTGGTTTTAGTCGCTCCCGCATGTGCACACTGTGCTACCAAAAAGAGAGAAGGAGGATTTGAAGGAGGACAAGAGGAGAAATGCCAGTGCATGGCATGATTGGTATACTACTAAAATGCATCGGCCTGAGCCATCATTTTAATGAAGATGTAATTACCACTGTTTCGATGTTGGCAGTCATAGTCACTGTGACCCATCACTGATGAGATGCATTATTGGCTCCATTATTCAGCAGAGACGAGCCAATGCAGACCAGTATTTTGGTCAAGTGTTTAAAATTATTGGAATTAACAGTTGGGTTCATTAGTTCTAAGAGAGAGCGAGAGAGGCAAGAATCATTTAGAGATGAAATAAGACAACAGTACATTATTACAAATAATAAAAATATTAATCGTAACTTATTTCAATGGTCATCTCAATATGAGATTAAACGAAATTGAAAATAATTGAGGACAGTGTACTAAAAGTATATATATATGCACGCTTGGTAGAATGGAACCCTTATATTAATTAGAACAGTTAAAGCCAACTAGTATGGGACCAAGGGTATAAACGTGCTTTCGGTAATTCAAACCCTTTAACAGGATTATAGGGACTGGTACAGCCGCAGCAGGAATGAGAGTCTAACCAAGGTTTTGGCGTTGCCATGCAATCCAGCGCATGGGATAGGGCATGGGCTATGGTACTATATATGTATACTGGGATACATGTGGTTACGCAATTACGTCTATGTATAATGCATACAGATGGTTGCATAGTATCAGCATTGTCGTTCGCTCGCATGGTGTTTATAGTGTCTGACAAAAAAAATCATCCGTGAGTCATTTATTTCCAAGTCTTATCCCACCCCAATGTTACTAGCTCATCGATTTCTCTAACATTTTTCGTGGATACTGAAAGTTGATCACTTGCTAATAGTCGGAGGGATTGAAAAGATGGATGAAATTAGTCAGCCGCAGCAGCAGCAGCAGCAGCAGCAGCAGCAGCAGCAGCAGTCAATTCAACGTCCAGTTATGTCTCGACACTTCGAAAACACAAGTTGTCCAACCCCACGTTGAATTCCAAAGTACCATTACCAGCATCAACTGCTTCCACTTCTCTTCTCTCTTTCTCTCATTCATGTATAATAATCATATTGTGAAAAACGGGACCTTGTCACGTCCAAGATGTCGAAATGGTCACGTTCGCTGGGAAGGAGGGGTGTTTAACCGTGCAAATGTATCTCTTCTACATGATTCCTCCTGCTATTCGTCGGGGCCTGTCGTCACTTCCTCTACATTTTCCATCTTTTTTTCTCGTCCTCCTGTTCAGCCTCACAGATCTCACCCTTCAACCCCTCATTACTCTCTCATTTTACTTACTACTTTTTTCCTTTTTTTCTTTTCCTCACAGTACATAAAGGTGTGTAAGGTGTGTAGCGTGCTCGAGGCCCGTCGCGTCATTTGCCACCGAACCCCACTGCATTTCCCTCTCCCACGTGTACGTTCTCAACATTTTCCCCTTCCTTTTCTTACCACGATAGTTTCCTCAGGCAACTATCAAATAGTAGGAAAGGAAAAGAACACGTTATGAGCGAAAAAGTTGAGGAAAAAAGAAAATCGATACAATCTCCCATCTGCTAATAATAGAGGCTTAACTCTCCTATGGGCTGTGGATCCATTCATCCACTATGGGTGTTTCAATGTGCGCAACCGAATAGTCTGCATGTTTGCCAGTCACTCGCACAGTACATATCGCCTGCCTCCCCTCTATCAGTAGGGGCTTTAACTATGAGCTAACTCATTTTAAATAGCTTCTTACACCCTCTCGACAACTGACCATACGATCTGTGACTTGTCAAGTTTTTTGGTAAATAAATCAACAACACTAGTTTTGATTTTTCAATTAATACATTGAAAAAAAAAAATCGAATTAATGTTACAAATAATAGAACCAATAAATTATCCAAATACTTGAAAATTGAACAGCTGACACTTTGGAATTACTATCAGTCAATGGAATGAAATCTTTTTATCAACAATTGTATAATTGCAACAAGCAGCCTCGCCAAGCCACACACACACACACACACACACCCTTCTTTAACATGCTTGTTGCTACAAGGGTGGAGAATTAATGAGTGAAGGTGCTTGGACAGACACTTGTAGCTAGTGTCCTCCAACCTTCAATCACCAAACTCATCATTTCCACCCTTAGCTGCTTAGTTCCATCTCTTCTAGACTCATATTTTTAATATTAGTGATTAGTGAATTCAAATTTTGCAGTTTGAATGGTAAAAAAGAAATATACTTCCAAATGATTATATCACCCTCTCGGATTATCCTATAGCAGTAGAATGAGGATGCAAAGCGAGGAGTAAGGAGTAAGTAGTATGGCAAAGGTGAGTAATTATTTCAGGGCTCATATTTTATTTCAATGTTTTTCCATTATGCTGTTATTTTGCCCAGCTTTTAATTGCACTGGAAATGCACATGTGAGATTCACTTGAGAATTGAAATATTTTAAACGGCAAAAATATCATTTTTTTTGTTATCATCAATTATCAAATTCAAAGTAATTAAATACCTTCACCCTATCAGCGTCATCTCGATGTAATTACTTGAACGAGCATTTAATTAAGCTATTCCCATAACGAGTACCACATTGTGATATTCACCTAATATGACAATCTCTTGCGTACCGACCGATGCAATAATAATTCTCCATTTTTCCACCTGAAGATTGAAAACTCTACGCTACAACACAACGCCGCTAGCTACAAGCTACAACTCATCACATGATATAATACGAAGAAAAGATTCTTTTTATATTTTTTCCTTGCCTTTTAGGTAGGTTGCCAAAAGCCGAAATCACCAAATTACATCACATGGAACATGGAGCATGCAAGCATCCAAGTGGGCGTGTGACCAAAGTGTATTTTGTATTTTACAAACAACAACAATAAAAACAACGACCGTGACAATCATAACTCCTAACCCCTAGTAACCTATTATATATAGGCAGGCCTGATCGCAACACGACAGACCTGATGGCCAAGTGTTGGCGACCTTTTTTATTTATATAATTGAATCATCGATACGAGTAATCAGTGTGATTCATAAGGCCGTAAATGTAAATAAACTCCTGTTGCTTAATTCAGTGTAAATAGAAAATATTCATCGGCTATTTTAGAGCATTGAGGCAAATCGTTTATTTATAACACAAACAAGACCACATCTGTCTAAGATAGCAATAGATATGGTTGAAAATGACATTTTAATACAATAAATAATAAAAACAATGGAGGAAATTTTATTCCGGCTTGGCAGCCAGATAGAAGCTCTTCAGGTAAACTGATTGTTATTATTATTATTAATTATTATCATCATCAATGTAGAATTATTAATTAAAGTATATATCTGATGGACATCAAGATGATTTTTTAAATATAGCCTTTTTTTTTCTCTCATTTCCATAAGAAAAATTGTACAAGATCAGTAAGAGATACATAAATTAATTGTCATCTAGATCGAGAGCTCCGCAGCTGCACAACAAGCCTATCACTGGATAATGACCTGGCTGTCCCAAGGTCAACAATACCTTCAGAATTTTTTCACTGATGAGTATGCCCAACAGATTAAAAATTTAGGATCGTTGATAATCCATTTATTAAACAGAGCATTGGAACAAATACAGTATCAGATCCATTGTGCACAAATAAACTCTAGGGATTTATATCATCACATTGCAAGTCTTTACTCAAATGATGGTGAATACAAGTAGTCCTACCAAGTTACTATTTGTTGAATTTTTATTATTCTTATTATTGAAAATTTCAACTTCCATTGTTTTGCAGTTTCTAGGAGAGACATTGCATTCTGCGCATTGGGTATAACAATAGGTAGTGTTGTAGGGTATAATATTGGGCTCAATTGGCGGCAAATGGCGAAGCGTATACAATATATGAGAGCAGTTATTTGTCATCATTACATAGGAATTGAGGTGAAAAATTTCTCTGATTACAATAAACTGAAAAAATGAAAAAAAATAATAAATACAATGACCTTTTAGGGAGTTTCAATAATTGACGATGCTGAAGTTCCAACAATAGAAAAATCCAACGAGATTTTAATTCAAGTGAAAGCAGCATCAGTGAACCCCGTAGATGTGAAAATATGCTCTGGCTACTCCAAATCCTATCGAAGGATTTTTAATACTGGGGTAAGACAAATATTATTTTTTCATCTTTAATATTAATTAAGTGAAAATTTAATCAACAGAAAGACCTCCCCATTGTTCTGGGTCGCGATTGTTCTGGTGTTGTAATTGATATTGGCCAGAATGTTGTAAGTTTTGATGCTGGTGATGAGGTATTTTTAGCCACTCCATCATGGAGATCTGGCACCATGGCTGAATATCTCGTTGTAGCTGAGAATCAAGTGGCGAAAAGACCTAAACGAATAACATTTGAAGCATCCGCTAGTTTGCCTTACGCTGGATGTATCGCTTGGGACACTCTAGTTAATAAATCAGGAGTTGAAGAAGGAAATGCCAAAGGCAAAAGGTCATTTTATACATATCTACATCTACACGTATAGGTAAAGTAATAAAGTTGTGTTTTTTTTCTTAATTTTTCTTCTTTTATAGATTTTTAATTTTTGGTGGCTCTACACCGGTCGGATGTATTTTAATTCAGCTAATTAAGCTGTGGGGTGGCCATGTATCTGCTATATGCAGGATGAATGCCGCAAAAGTCATAAGGGCTCTTGGAGCTGACGATATTATTCCACTGGACCAGTCTGATATTGAAAAGGAACTTGAGCTTCATGATAGGTAATGATACTAATTATTATTAATTGACTGATAAATTCTTTAAATGCAATTCTTTCCTCTCCCTGAGCAGATATCATGCAATTTTCTATACATATGAACAGTCAATTGATATTCGTATTTTGAAGAAACGATTACTGCCATACGGTTCATTTGTATCCACCTTACCAGCGTCACTCACTTCAGATTCACTTGGTCTTGTCTTTGGGATTCTTTTTGCTGCACAAGTCCGAGTAAAACTTTTGCTCCAAGTATGTAGAGATTGTTTTTTTTTGTCTTTTCCAATTTGATTTCATCAACAAAAATACACGCACACACACACACACAATTGATTATTATTTTCACAGTTTCAATTGATATATTTTTGTTATTTTTCTTCTCTTCAGTATATTTTTGGAATTGATACTTATCATTACAATGACGGGGTGAAAATCAAATCATCAACACTGGAAATAATTCGTGAACTAGTTGATGCTGATCAACTCCAGAGTGTTGTTGGTGCTGCGTTCCGTCCAAATCATGCTGAACAAGCTTTGCAACATGTTTTAGGAGCAGATGCAATTGGTAGCACTATTATTAAGTTCCAATGACACTTGATACAGTTTGAAAGAAATATGATAAAAGAGTTATGCAACAAAAGTATATTCAACTTACGAGTCAATGCATACTTGCCAAATTCAACTGTCTTTAAATAATTATAATTATGAAATATAATTGTTAAAAGATGCTGATGAAAGTGAAGATTTACCAGAATTTAAACTGATTATTTTGTCATTTTCTTCTCGAAAGATGATTTTAAATTAGTCATTTGAATTTGTATAGGGAGGGAAGAAATAGTACTTGGTCCTAATTTAAGACAATTTTGTGGATAATGCCCACAGAAACGTGATATTCAATACTGTGGCGCTAATATTAGTTTTTTAATTGTGAAATCATTATTGTGGATAAAGCACTGTTTATAAATTGTAAAAATTGTAAAAATTGTAGAAATAAAGTGAGTAAAATGGAAAAGTTGCAAAATTTTTCTTCATTCAAAAGATGTATTCTCCAGAGAGCATGTAAAATAAAAATGCAAATAGAGAATAATGAGCTATCAACATGAGATTTCCTTCCATTGATTATCAAGTTGAAAAAGAATCAATATATTTATTTTCCTTTATTTTCCCTTTCCGCGGAATTTACCACCGCTGGTTTTAGCCTTCTTGGCAGATGGTTTTTGTGATTTTTTCTCTTCAGCCTATAACAAGAAGGAAAAAGAGTGTAAGAGTGCAAGTTTTGATGGGTTGTTTAATAAAATTTTGTGAATATTGTATAAAAATGAATTAGCAATTGCTCACTTTACGCTTAGCTGATGGTGTTGTGGATAATACTTTGAAGAATGAGTCAAGTCTACCCTGTGTCGATGTGTTTCTGGCCTTTGCTAATTTTTTGGCTCCATTACGAATTCTAGTCTCATCAAACTGTTTGTCTCCACAAAGAAATTTAACAAGACCCTCTTCATCAGGTTCATTCCATTTCAACTATAATATTAAAAATCAATTGAATCTTTATAATTATGAAATGATTCAAGTCAAGTGATAATGAATACCACCAAACATACCTCAATTCCATTAGCATCAGCAACTTCAGGTTGTAAAAACAATTGCCTCGCCTCTTGATAATTCCACTCATCAGGAACTGGATATTTCTTAGTATCAATATTGTCGATTATTTTTTCAATAGACTTGTGATTTTTCATGAGTTCTATGGCTCTCTTAGGGCCAATTCCCTTGATGGTGCTGGTATAATCACAACCAAGCATAATACAAAAGTCAATGAACTCTTGTTTTGTCAGTTGCATGCCTTCCAGTACCTTATCAAGATGAATCTCCTGCACCGGCATCTTTCTAGCTTCGCTGAAGGTCAAACGTCTCAATAAAATGGTGCTTCCAAAAGTGAGTGCATCCATATCTTCAGTGGCAGCGGCAAAAACCTTTCCGGCCTTCACTAGAGCAGCACACTGAGCTTCGGCTTCACACGGTGCTTCCACATACGGAATACCCATGAGCTTCAACAATTGCTTGGCCTCTTCCACATGGGTTGATGTGACTTTGACCAATCTGCGATTGAACTTATCAATTTCCTCAGTATTTCCAGCCTCCTCAGCAGCTGCTAATGCCTTTTGAGCCTCGTCTCTTCTCTCAGCACGTTTTGCCAGTTCTCCACCTTTTAAATTTGGGGGTTTACCATCAAATACATAGACTGGTTTTACCCCATTATCAACTAGTCGTATTGTTCTATAAAATGTACCCATCAGGTGACTGAAAGCAATCAATATCATCATTAAATATTATTTATCATTCATAATATTTATTATTCTATTGATAAATAATGTCCTTAAAAAGACAATACCTTGTGGTTTCTCCGTCTGCTGATGTTAATTGGGCTCCTTCACTTCTTACAGCTATTAAAAATTGGTATAGACACATAGAAGCATCGATGGCAATTTTTCGACCTTCAATAAATGGAAAAGAAACCATTAATCAATTTTTAATTTGCACTATTTTAATGAAATTGTAATAATTACTATAGCGAGAAAGATAAATATGTATGTATATTATTATACCAAAGTAATGTTTTAATTCACGTTCCTTTATGGCACTGGGAGCCAAATCAGCAATAATCTTAGATAATCCTAGAATACCCATGGTTAACTCTCAACAACTGACTAATCTCACCATAAATTTCAATTTTGCAAAAAAATCTGACACTTAATTCCTTGGTTTCGAGATGATTATACAAATATTGATGTTCAATTCTTGTTCTATAATAATTTGAGAGTCGTTAATGGATTGATGCCACACGATACAGACGCAATTCTTCTCCTCCATTATTTTTTCCCGCCAACTATCCTTTATTTTAATAAAGTGAAGTCGTCAGAGAAAAATTTCGATCAATCGTTAGCCGTTCGAGTTTGTTGCATAACGCAGCACCAACTTCACATTATCGTTCTGCAATGAGGCGATGATTTTTTTTGAGGTTGGTTTTGGACGTCTGGACTCTGCTGGAGGTCTCTCTCTCTCTCTCTCTCTTTCTTTCTTCATCTACTAACACTAGTGTGCATGCTGCGTATTATCAGTGGACAGTGTCACATATACCAGCTAGTGTGCTACCTATATATTATTTTATTTTATTATTATACACGAATATACCCCTGATTCGTTTTTTCCTTCATCTTCTTCTTCTTCGTCTGCTTTTTTTTAAACAACAACTCTTCAAATTTCATTTTAGTAGGTTGTATTTTCAACTTACAAGATTCAAGACTCCTGACTCTTATATCTTCGATAGTATTAATATTGAAAAAAGTTACATTTTGCATCCAACCTTAACAACAATGTGGTAGGTATAAAATTTAAAAATCTCTATGTTAATCAGTAATTGCTAATCAGTATAAGGCTAATATATTGTGCATGTGTAAATTTGTTTACCAACCTTCAATTCTCATTAAATATCAACTCCTTTGTCTCTCATTGAATTTAAATACAACTGGATATCAATGTGAATGAAGATCATAAATTCCAATTGATTATATACTTATGGAGTGTATAATTTACAAATTAGGAAATAATTTGATGGCTGGCAATTTTATACATCTTCATACTGATGACGACTTGGAAAATAGTCTCATGAATAATGGACATGGGATTGCTAATGATGAATTATGATGATTCTTCAATTGTTTAAATTATTATTTATCCGTTATAATCAATTACACAATTATCTATTGGAATAAACAAAAGAAAGATGCTAAAGATTATCAACGCATTAAAATACCAATGCGATTTTTACCATTAACCATATAAGCTTTATATCCATGTAATGCTTGGATATGAAATTGATCATTGATTTAATGGGAAACAAAATATTCAATAGCTTGTTTGTGTAGATGGTAATAGTATCGACTCATACCGGTCAATGTACAAGCACTCGGAAGCAACAGTATTTGTTTATCGATGAACGATTATTATTCAAAGGTTGCTTGACCATGTTTTTTTTAAAATCAGTACGATACACCCGATGATCATCTTTCTCCAGTGCAGAATTTTGTCTTTGATGAATAGTAAATTTTTTTTTTTTTTTTTATGAGTAATAATTGCTGAAAAATTAATTCGTTTGTTCTATCATTCTGTTCTAGATCCGATATTTAAACATAATCTACCTGAGGATAAGAAACTATTTCGTGGGTAAAACGATAAAACGAGGAGAAAAATTAATTTTTATTTAAAAATGAGTTTTCTCAAGTCACTTAAATGCAATACAGTTGTTCACTTAATGTTCGCTATAACATTCTTCATTTCTGGCTTGATGATTAATTTTATCCAGTGTTTATTGTGGATTATACTCAGGCCCTATTCTAAATATTTTTATCGTAAAATAAATTACTACCTCTGTTATTCATTTTACTCAGGTAAGTTGTCGATCCCTGCTCAATGAGTTATAAACATTGATCGTGTAATGAAATTATTGATTATTAATCAATTTTCAGAGTTAGTATTTCTGGCTGAATGGTGGTCAGGCACAGATATAATAATATATATCAATAAGGATGAGTTTGACAAATACTATGGACATGAACATGGATATTTATTAATGAATCACACCTATGAAATTGATTGGCTGATGGGATGGGTGTTTTGCGAAAGGATAAAAATCCTTGGAGTAATTATTTATTCACAATTTCTTTTTTTTCCTTTTTTTGTTCGACATAATTTGTCAATATATGATAATTGTAAATAATTTTGGTTTCTCAAAATTTAGAATTGCAAAGCATATGCTAAAAAATCAATTCAATATATTCCAACGCTTGGTTGGGCATTTAAATTCGCTGAGGATGTTTTTCTCGAGAGAAGTTGGGATAAGGATAAAGAGATCATTGGCAGACAGATCACGGAATTGGGTGACTATTCGGATACAATGTGGGTGAGTAATTGATATTTATTAAATGATTTAACACAAATAGATTCATCAAAATAATTAGCTTGAATGAAAGAGCACACACATATAGATACATACATATAACTCACTGAAAAAAAAAAAAAACAATTGCAGTTACTTCTCTATGCAGAGGGTACACGTTTCACCCAGAAGAAACATGCAGTGAGTGAGAAATTTGCAAGTGAAAAAGGTTTGCCAGTATTGAAACACCATCTTACCCCACGTACAAAGGGCTTCACAGCGAGTTTACCATTTTTACGAGGCAAAGTCAATGCAATTTATGATATACAATTGGGATTCGATTCAAAAGCATCAGTGAAACCAACGATGACAAATTTATTGAAAGGGGAGAAATGTGAGGCACATTTGTACATTAATCGTATACCGCTGTCGGACGTCCCTGAGGGGGAAGAGGAAGCGGCAGCCTGGCTGCACAAACGGTATCAGGAGAAAGTACGTTTTTACCAACTATTATTTTATTAGAGAAGTGCAAATTGTCAATTACTTATTTTTTTTCTTTTTCTCTTTTTCTTTATATAATTCAGGATCGATTGGCAGACAGTTTTATTAATACTGGTGATTTTTTCGAACAAAGTGGTGTATCAAGACCAGATAAATTTCGACTAAAAAGACGATATTATTCCCTAATCAACACTTTCTTCTGGGCAGTAGTAGTTCTGGTTCCTATGCTGTACTATCTCGTTAGCCTGTTGTTATCAGGTTCAACTTATTACTTTGCTGCAGGAGTTTCTATTATAGTTTTGTGTAAGTTTCCCTCATATCACTCATATGTAGTCAATGTACATTGTCAATATCAGGGATTATTGTTTATCGTTGTCTTTCTATTTTTAGCTCATTCAACTTTTTTCTCTCATTACAGTTTACATACTGATGAACCAAATAATTGGAATGTCAGAAATCAGTAAGAGCTCTTCATATGGTTCAGCGAAAAAATATAAATGAAACATTCAATAGAGATATGCTCCGTAAACATATAAATATTTGGAAAATATGTTCATATACATAGCGTAAATAATATCGATTATTGACAGCTCGATTATTACAATTGCATATAACATCGATTTGACAAGATGTACATTTAAGGGTTACCTATGCAATTAATTTGTTGAGGTTGATGGAAAAAAACAAAAAAACAAAAAGAAAATAAAGAAAATTGATGCAGCCTCATGAGAATATGTGAATTCTTGCGGTATTTTTATATAAGAAGAATAAGCATATTATTGCCATCATAACAATTTCTTTATAATAATTTGAGTTTCGAGCCTCAGTTATTTTCTTTCTTTTCCTTTTCGTTGTGCGTATTGATTAATATTTTCTTGTTATATTCACATACAATAATCGTTATATTGTTGAATAAACGAATCGAGAGATGATTCTTAATAATAATATAGCGTAATAGAATTGAATTTAACGATTATTCGTTTTCAACTTATTTTCAAACGGAAATGATTCATATCCAATTGATGGATGCGACGTGTAATAAACTTTTCGAAGTTTTCCTCTGGCATCGTAATAACCATAATAACCTGTCACTGTTCCATTATCGTGACGTTCTTCATAACGAAATTGCCTATTATTCCTATTTCAAAATAGGAGATGAAAAAAAATTTGATTAAAAAACCATTTATGAACAGTGGAGTAATGTAATATTTTCAATATTTTAAAGATCACTGCCCAGTAGAACAGTGATCAAAATTTCGCAATAAATTGGAAAGCTTCAAAATTAAAATGATATGTTGTTGAGGACATTAGGACAACTTCATATTTTTTGCATTTGCATTGTCGAAAATTCAGTAAAAAAAATAAATAAAAATAAATAAATAATAACACAAACTTAATATTTGACAATACAAATAATGATTTTTGGGATGAATTGAGTGATAGTAAAAAATTTTACCCATTTCCTGTGTCGTATCCAAATACATAAGTTTCAGGTCCCTCGTGGCCATGAATGTGGAAGTTGATTCTCTCAATTTCATCTGAATGCTGAGTTTCTTCCAATTTTTCATCTTTTTTTTGTTCTTCTGAGCTCTGAATATGGGAAACACAGATAAAAAACTCATGCATCGATTTTGTTTCGCATTATTGATTGCGCAATGATTAATAATTTCTTTATTACCTCTGATTGTTGAGTAGGTGCATGATCTCTTATATAAAAATTCATAGATGCTCTATATTTTTCTTTCTTACTACTCCAACTTTGAGGAGTTGCATCAGTTACCAGACGATTTTTCATCAATTTTTCATCCATGATTTTTTTATGACAGCTGTAAATATTATGTTTTTGAATGGTTGGAGGCTTAAGAAAAGTCGAGGGAACCTTTGGCCATTTTATGTTATTGCTTCGTAGTACAGCCCTTGGCCTCCCATTAATATTGTTATAAATTACACGTTCACTTTCCTCAGATATAGTACTGATAGATGGTACAATATTCACTAATCCTTTGTTGCTAGATTCCAAAGAAATCTCCTTCAATTTTGCTCCTTGAATTTGAGTATTCATCATCAATACAATACTGAAGAAACACTAAAAAAAGAAGGAATATTCAATGTATTTTCAGAAAAATTTCAATGCAAGATTTTTTTGTTGAGAAAGCTCACAAAATAATCGATGCACATCTTGGTAGTCTCTCTTTCATCAATATACATACAAATGAGCCTACAAAGACATTTGATACGCTTCGATTGCGGTTGGATTGCTTTCTACTCCCTCCCGCGAGGACCACGTTTTACTCTATTCTATTCTTACTTAATGCATGCTTCTCTTTTGTTAACAAAAAAATCATTTGTGACGAAATAAAATGGCCCTATTTTCAGTGAATTTATTGATTTCTCCAGATTAATTTGTTTCGAACCGATTAAATTTTTTATTTGTAAAATAGCCCATTTGTTTTTATGAGGTTCACTCACTTTTCTATTTTCTTATATAAATTTCTGACTGTACAGAAGTAAAAAAAATTATTCAGTTATAACACAATAGATAGATCATTATTAAATATTTGGAAATTGACTCATCATAGTTTACCCAACTTTACTACTGAAATAATTTGACAATGCAAGAGTGAATAAAATCTATTGTCTCCGGTCGCCGGAACGGTCGACATCAAGGAAACAGTAATTACTCGAGAAAATTTGTTCACAAATGTCACTTTAGCCATTAATAAAAATGACGTTGACTAGTTAGAGCTTCCTTTCAGTAATCATTCTCTGATTATTCAATTTTTTTTCAATACCGTATATAAGATGATTGTCTAATGAAATTCTTTCATTTTTTTCTGTTTTTTTTTTCTTTTGCAAAAATGAATATTGTAACAATTCGGATTATCTTGATATTTGTTATAGTACATTATACCCAGGTGAGTCTACTTACCTAGAATAAAAATGACTCAAGGAATTCATTTTTTAAATGAGATTTTTTTGAGTATTTCAGTCATTGCGATGTAGTTCGGGGAATCAACGCTTGAATGATAATTATCAAAAAATAATGCAGACCTGTAGACGGCGTTACAATGCCTCCAGAGGTGAGGAGAATAATTTCTCAACTGATGACTCGAATAACTCAGAAGGTGATTCTTCTTCATCTGATGGATCACTATTTGGACATGATTTCTTGTCTGGGACGAAAAAAACCCATGGGGAATCCTACCTCAATTACAGGTAAGTAAGAAATTAGTGATAAAGTGGTGAATCTCTTTAACAACTCAGTTACTATATCATGTTTATATTCATCTCATGAATGATTTTTAAAGAAAAATCAAAGTTTATCACCTGCAGTTGATAAACCGCCTTCCCATTTCTTCCGATAATCATTCATTACTCATATATTTTATAATCAGAGAGAATGTGATAATTTCCGAAAAGCTCCAGACAGTATAAGAGGAATTCTGACATTTCAAAATATCATGAAAATTCAATGAATAAGAATAACTCAATGGGTAACAGGAATGGGAGAAAAGCAAGTTCCAAGGATGTAATGCAACGGCAGAATAATTCCAGAAATTTCAACGATGGCGATGAACAATTCGTAATTATTAACTACTTTATCAATTCAGATTGGAGAGTTGAAAAATAAAATTCTAAACTTTCTTGCCTCTAGTGCAAATCTCATTGTTTTTTTGATGAGTTGAACGTGGTAAATATATTAATCCAGTATATTTCACTCAGCTGGCAAGTGGTAAAATGTAAAAATTATTGAAATTATAAGAAAAAATATACTTTTTACTACTTGGCATGCTGATTTGTATATTTTCCTTTTCCAATATCTACTATGTAAATGGAAATAGTTATCGTGTTTTTTTTTTCTCTCAGGTGGATCGACGAGGATATCCGGAGAGGGTGGCGGTCACAAGAGTAATGACACAGGGTATTCAAAATCCAGCACTTCGTGATTTTATAGAGGAATCAATACTGGAATGTTTTCATCTTATGCCGTCAATCATTAGTTGTGACAAATGTGCCTTCTCACAAAATCTTGTCAATTGTTTAACTGACAAAGGAAAAAAGGTTCATATCATTTCTTAACTTCAACGTCAAATGAAGTCATCGGAGAGACAAAATAAATGAAGATACAACATATTTTCTAGGAATGCGAAGATTGGAACGACTAAACCTTCTCACATAATATTCATTTGTCAATTATTACTCTCGATATTCAATTTCAATTCTAAATATAAAAACAATTTGATAGATATTGAATATTTTAATACTAACTAATAACAATAATAATAATAATAATAATATTTGTTGCTAGTAAAAATAAAATATGTACTGGAATAGCATCTATTGATAAACATATTTTTGGACATTAAAAATTGGTTATTTTACTGCAAAGGCACTCACACAACAGTCTAAATCTTTGTTAAATCATCAGTTAAAAGTTGGGATAAATTGATGAAATTCAGAGGATAACTGTATTAATTATTATAATTCTCTGAATGATAAATATATGTATAGTGAATCAAAGTCAACTATCGACTGATAAAAAAAATAAACCCCATTGTTATTTATTTCAATTACAAAATTGACCTTTAAGGTCAAATTAATTTATAAGGCTTGGTGCAACCAATCAACAAACCAAGCCAATACTAGCCAATAAAATTGAGACAGTTCATTAAGAATTGATAAACCTGTGGGGGTGAAAATGAAGTATTCTGGAAAGAGCCAAATGTTTTTCGATTAAGAAAATTCACTTGCTCTTTTTAAGGTCTTCGAAACGTTTCATAAGGTCATCAAAGTCAATATCATCATTGTCACCACTACGTCCTGGTGTATCATTGTCTGATGGAACAGCTGGTAGATCTGGCAGTTGAAAGTCATTCATGGGCATTTTTGATCTCGGTTGTGGTTTAGGTTTAATATCCGACTGAAAATAAAATGCAATCAGTGTATTAGAAACTGAATAAATATACGATAATGATTGATAATGATTGTTTTGACAGCTCTTTTCCTGTTAAATTCTGATGGCTTATTTTTTATAAAATAATAGCAAAAAATATATTTTTGTTTTTTCACAATTTCCCATTTTTGTGACCATTGTTAAGGATTGCATTCAGTAACAAATACCTGTTTATTCAAATCGGGAGGGAATGAGTAAGGTGGCGGCAAATCATCATCCTGTAAAATTGGGGATGAAGTATAGCTCAATGAATATGAAAATTTAAGAAAAAAAAAAAAAAAAAAATAATTGCTGATATTACTCACTGGTTTATTTGTATTTGCATTATCCAAAGGAATATTATAAGAGAATGCAGCTGGGTTGAATGGAATATTTTGATCTTTCTCCGGCATCATTGGAGCACCCGGTGACACAAAACCCATTGGGATACCTTTGGGCTTCTCCCCTCCACCCTAAAAATGAATAAAGAAAATATGAAAAAATTTTTTCTTTCTCGTTTTGTCTACTGACAGATGATCAATTCACTATTTTTCAATCACAACGTACCATTGCACCGAAATTAGACGGGGGTTCAGGCAGCTTAGGTGCCTGAGGGAATCCAATGAACCCAACGGGATCTGCATTACCAAAATGAGCACCAGCACTGTCCAAGTTATTTGGAAGCTGCCCTCCACCATCAACATCAATCAACAATGTATCTTGTCCCTCAGCCATCACCTGAGGATCAGGTTCGTACTCAACATTGTAGTTCTTGGCAATTTCAATTATATACTTTTCAACCAATAATTTTGATGGGGACTGAACACTCAATTTATGTTTGAGCTTTTCAGATATCGTCTGTACTGCCTCATCTTTGCAGGCTTCTGTGTATTGTCTGCCATACTTGGATGTAAGAATATCTGCTATTACTTTCAATTCCTGAATGTCTGTCTGGAGTCTTGGAGCTGCCCAGATAACTGTTGATATCGCTTCCGCAAGGCCTTCATCCAAATTTCTTGGAAAAAAAAAAAAAAAAAAAACAATCATGGCCTATTAATAACTTAAATTTTATAAAAATGTAATGATCATTGATTTATCACACTCATTTAACTTATAATGATTGAATCATTAGCAAAATTGTGCAAGGACATAAAGTCATTCAATTTTTTTTAGAAATTTTTGATGAATATTATCGAATCCAAGGGAGATGAGCTGATGAGATGATTCAAACCCTTGATTACTTGATTATGAATGGTTCATGTTCATCTTGAAAAAGTAAACTTTTTAGAGCAACTATATGACAAGACTTTTATTTACCATTTATTAAGTAAAGATAGTTTAATAACAAAATGTGAAAAATCGACTTGTTCTATTACGTTTTGACATTTAACTCACTTCATCTGTTGGATGAGTCCAAATCTAGCCAACAAAAGATCACAGTACATTTCCATTAGTTCCATAGCCTCAACCATGTAATCTTCCCTGATAATGTGTTCAACCCGTATTTTTGCTCTCTCCACTTTTCCTGCGGCAATATAATCAGCAATTTCCTTTCTTGCCTTCTGCGCCAATTCTGTTTTCTTTTTTTCCAAGAGTTTCAATCTATTTATAGCCAGTCTTAGGTGTGTCTTTAATTTTGAATAATTCGGACCACTCGAAAACATTTTGTTGATATTATAATGATTAGGTTCGCCTTGATTGTCTCATGAATCACCTACAACTGTGGTATATAAAGCTCGTCAACGGCCTGAACTTGTATCCTACCAATTCTGTTCACTGATTGGTGGATCATAAATGACGTGCTGTTCTTGCCACACTCTGGGAACTATTCGACGAAGAGAGAAACCGGCAACAAAACCGCGCTTCTTTTCTATTTCTTGGGCAGCATCCACCACCCGTACCAGCAGTCTATGTATTTATTATATGTGTTATGTGAACTATAATTGGGGACTATAATTATATATATATATATATATGTACTATAACTATAATTATATATCGCTGCGATGTCTGGTGGGTATCGCCTGCACTAAAAAAACTGGCCGTCCGATGGTTTATCGTTGGTACTTCTATCAATTACTTTGCAAATCCTCAAGTTTTTCTAAAATATGACACCATCGGAACTTCGAATACAACCATTAAAAACAATACAGACATGAATGAGTCGAAGAGGAAGTACTACTGTCAGCTACAATGTGAGGGTTTGAACAAGTTTGAACGAGTAAACCATCGGTCGTCCATGTCAATGAGAGCGATCACCTCGCCACCATCGGTAAATAGCGGTCCCAATAAGCATGTGGCAATTGTACAGATTGCACCAGATTGCACAACCCTCCACGCATATTCATCATGGCGACCGGCCACTGGCAGAGAATGGACGTTTTGGCGTTCGTCCGCGGATTTTCGGTGAGAAAAGGGATTAAACCGGGAAAATACTTATTAATCGTGCAATAATCAGTTAATATTGAGTACGGGGAATGATTTTATCAAGAAATCAGACTTTATTAGTGCATATTATTAAACCTAGATCGGTAAAAAGTGCAATACTATATTTCGCCATTGCGCAACTCCTCCGCGCACATTCATCATGGCGGCTGGCCACTGGTAGAGAATGGAGGGTTTGGCGTTTGTCTGCGGATTTTCTGTGAGAAAAAGGGATTAAACCCGGGNTCGGGGAAATACTTATTAATCGTGCAATAATCAGTTAATATTGAGTGCTGGGAATGATTTTATCAGGAAATCAGACTTTATTAGTGCATATTATGAAGCTTAGACCTCTAAAAAGTGCAATGCCAAATTTCGCTATTGCGCAACTCCTCCGCGCACATTCAACATGGCGGCGGGTCATTGGCAGAGGATGGAGGTTTTGGCGTTCGTCCGCGGATTTTCGGTGAGAAAGGGGATTAAACCGGGGAAATAATTATTAAGAATACAATAATCAGCTAACATTCATGGCAAGAAATGATTTTATCAAAAAATCAGACTTTATTATTGCATTATTGCAGAATCGAGACGTATAAAGAGTGCAATGTCAAAAACATCATTACTGCGCAACTTGTCTGCGCACATCCATCATGGCGGCTGGCCACTGGCAGGGGCTGCAGGGTTTGGCGTTCGTCTGCGGATTTTCGGTGAGAAAGGGGATTAAACCGGGGAAATAATTATAAATAATACAATAATCAGCTAACATTCATGGCAAGAAATGATTTTATCAA